TTTTTTTTTTTTTTTTTTTTTTTAAATACCTGCGGCGGAGGTCTTTAAGTTTAAGAATTTAAGGTGAGGTGAAAAAAATACTAAATCAATTTTGTTAATTTTTCTAACGCAAATGCAAACACTCAAAAATCAGGTACAGATTTAATAACCATGTAAAAAAAAAAAGTTTAACGAATTCTCAATGTAAATATGCCCAATACAGCATCAAAAATAAATTTGGAAAAAGATTCTCTGTAGTTTTGCTAATCGATTTGATAACTTCTGTATTTTCCCGCGTGCCTGCTTTATGTGTGTGCTTTTTTTCCATTTGGACTTTTTTTTTTCTGTTTGCGCTTCTTCAAAATAGCCTTCTCTGTTTGCACGTTCATCACGACTGTGTATTGGTATTTTATTTTACTGTGCGTCTTTTCCCTACCAGTTTGATTTTTTAAAGATAAGAATTTGAAGGGAACATAGCCGGTAGGCCTATTTGACAACTGGACCGAAAACAACCAGCTGAATATTAATACTTGTATTTTTAAAAGTTAAAGGCAGTGCCGGTAGTCCATTTCCAGTGGCGTGCTTATGGTGGGCGTGTGTATGTTTTGGGGCGCACTTTTGAAAGCTCCCCCCCCCCCCCCCCGGCGGCTTGGCTTAAGACAAAGTATGCCACTGCCTATGTGTAGATAGGCATAGAGTATAATAATGCAAAGTAGAAAATTATTCAATGGAACAAAAAACAAAAAAGTAATATAAATCCTGAAATTTAAATAATATTATGTACAACTTTAAAATATTATAGACTATACACTAACAGCGTTAAACTCTGGAATCTGTACTAAATAACTAAACCGCTTCTACTTTTTAAGGAAAAGAAGAGAATGTAATCATCTTCTCATTTCAATTGAAGGAAATAATGAGTACTTTCCCTTTCCAAATGTACTGTTAAAATAAATAGATATCTTGAACTCCCCCCTTTCGCCCAGCAATATCTTAGCTCAATTCCTGAAGAATTTCTGAAATGTGGTTAAATTTAGATTCATCTTTTTTCCCTCGAAAAAAATTAACAGCATTACCGTGAGAACTAGTAAAAGTTCCTTTTATACTACGTCAAGATCAAGAGCACATAGTATAGTACGCTCTCTAACTTACTTGCTTGTTGTGTAGTTTGTCGTCACCAAATCAGGTTAATCCCGTTAACAATGACCATTAAATACTATCAGCATTAAATCAAAGGCGGCCAAAAAACGGCATGTTATCTCATTTATTTCGATCACAATTTCCCAACTCTTAATTCACTGAGATGGCCTGGGTAGGAAGGGGGTGAAATCAAATGAATATTCCAAGTCCTAATTTACGTCACAGCGGCCGTCCACAAAGTAGCCTACGTCACGCTATTTTTTCCAGTGTTTTCATACCTCCTTCACAATCTGTCAAAAATCTCTCCCCTCCCCCCCAAAAAAAAAAAAAAAAAAACCAAACAAATACTTCACACTTAAAACAAAAAAAAAAAAAAATAAATAAATAAAATTTAATCTATACTAAAAAATAATGTGTTTTAGAATGAACTAATTTTTTAGCAGAAAGTTAAACATCACTGTCATTTTCAGCCTTTTCTATGTAAGATTCAAAATATAAATATGTGATTTCACATATGCTCCACCCCACCCCTGCACAAATAGTCACACTGCACACTTTCTTAGACCCTCTCTCCCCCTCGTGAGAGTGACGTACTTTATGGATACCCCACAATGTTCTAGGCTAGTTCTACATTACAACATTGTCCTTTTTTACTTTTCCTATCGGCAAACGCTAAGAAAAAATACAAGGTTAAAGCCCGCTGACATTTATTTCAATTCGATCATATTTCACCGTTCATTTATATACTGGACACGCCATATCAGTCGTGAGATACTAATAGCCAAATAAAATGTATTTCGCGTCTGTCCCCTTAACATTGATCTATAGATGTGTGAGTAGCGTCGAGGCTAACAATTCACCTTTGAATACAGAACGAGCCCACAACTTTTAGGCTCAACCATAACGTAACTGCGGCTACACATGTACGTAGAGATACCTGAATTCCTGCGTCGTCGTCTAAAAATAACTCATCATTTCACATCAGAGCTGAAAATAACATCCATGTGTGCGGAATTCCCCAACCACCCACCGCCCTTCCCATAATTCTCCAGTGGCTCCGCCCATTAACCATCAATCAAAAATAACAATTTGCCTTCTGATATCGAACCTTGAAAAATATCAACGAGCTAATAAAATCCGGTACAGATTTTAAATGTTAACATTATATCTCATGAAGTGAATTTCATCACTGCATTAAGATTCAGTCATTATGTGGATTATCTGATTGCCTCGTATTTCACTTGAAGACTTTTTTTTTTTTTTTTTACAAGAGATATGTTCTCTATTTTCGCAGGCGTTTCGCCAGTGGCGTAAGAAAGAGTGTGCAGAAGGGACATATCGCCCCAAGGGGCACTTTTTTTTTTCTCTTTATGTAGAAGGCGGCTTTTTAGGCCAATTTTTTTGTTTTCTTTTTTTTTTCCTTTAAGCCTTTTTTTTTTTTTTTTTACAAGAGATATGTTCTCTATTTTCGCAGGCGTTTCGCCAGTGGCGTAAGAAAGAGTGTGCAGAAGGGACATATCGCCCCAAGTGGCACTTTTTTTTTTCTCTTTATGTAGAAGGCGGCATTTTAGGCCAACTGTGGAGTGTTTGTTTTTTTCTTTTTCAAAGAAGGATGCCGGCCCTCTGCAGGTGGCACTAACCCTAGCCACGGCACTGCGTCTCCCTTACTAATGAGGCTTAATACTAATCCTACTATTTCGGACAATGAGATGGTCGTTGCAGTCATGAGATCAAGTACCAAATACCGACTGCAATGTTTGAGAATTTTTGACGAACTGTTGTGACAGGAGAGGGCCAGAGGGCAGTTCAAATATGTTAGGGTCATCATTGGTTTTGGTGTATTTTACGATCTGATAACCAACACTGTTTTTAAACCTAAACATGACATAACAAATCTATCACTTAATTATTAAGTCTCATTTTTTAATTTTTTTTTTCATTGCCTTTGGCTTGAAGAGTGTTTTAAATTTGCTGGCGGGGTGGGGGGTGGGGGGTTGGACAGAAATATGCAATTAGCCCCTTCAGATCGTTTAAATGTTATGCTTTGGAATTTTACTTCTGATATATTGCTATAATATATTACAATAATATATTACAGGTGAACAGAGTGTAAATAAAACGACAGGGGATGTCATTTGGCACAAGAAGTAGGCTGAACAATTGGCTTAATTTGTCCCACCCGAGTCTTAAACCTGATGTAGGAAACAGGACGCACGGTATCAAGATAGTACATGCCTATTTTTTGGCCAGATTCGCTAATTGCGCTACACCTATCCAGGGGCGTCATTTCAAGTTTTTTCGGGGGGTTGGGGGGGCGCAAACCCAAAACTTGGTCGGCTTGTTAATTTGTTTATTACTGGAGGCGCCACAGTACATAGCAATTTAAATAAAACCTGCAAATTCAGGGGAGAGGGAGAGCAAATGCCACACCCTGCCCTACCCAAATGACGTGCCTGCACCTATCAGAAAGTAAAATGAAATTGTAGGCCTGTATGACTAAAGCAGGAACTTTTCCGTACACATGTGTGATTTTAAAAAGAAAAATAAAAATCTTTAATCTAGGAGCGGTCAAAGACCTATATTTGTTTGTGTGTGTAGCATAAATAGTTTTTTAACTGGAAAAGAAAACCCCTGCAATTTTTGTAATGGCTGTGACGTAACTTGAGGTTAAAAAATATAATAATTTGTGATCCTTGGTGTGTTCCTTTGTGATCCTTTGCACCTCTCTAATTTACGAAAAGCACAAAACATTCAGAAAACATATTAAATATTAAGCCCTATAAATTAAATGATATGTACATAAAATACCGCTCCCCCACCAAAAAAAAAAAAAAAACAACCAAAAAAAAAAAAAAGAAAAAACAACAAAAACACCCACACATGAAGTGAGACATTCTTATTAATGGGTTTACGGTAACATCGCTCTTGTAAGTTTTAACCTTGTTGCCAGGGGAACAAGCGTGAGGTGAACGAACATTCCTTTTTGTACCGTCAATATAAATACTCAGGTAAGGTACGATTAAGGTGGCAGCAGCTTTACCCTCCACACTGTCCGCACTACACAGCCACCTTTCAACCACCAATCAAAGTGTTTTCTTTTAGAGTCAGTATTTTATTATGACTTGTTTTTAAAATAAGGCGAGCTTATATGCCCCTTTCCCATGTTGTTTTATCACCATTTTCAATAACTAAAGAAAAGATTTAAAAAAAAAAAAAAAACAAAACAAAAAAA